CTCCTGCAGCCTCCCCAGGGGCCAGCTGAGGTCAGCTTCCCCTGGATAGAGCGCACATGGTGGCACGGAGTGACCTGCAGGACCTCCAAGCAGAACAGAACCGTAATCCATGACCGCGGGAATGGGGTCAGTGACATCATTTATCACCTGAGTATAATCTTTTGGCTTGGACCAGCTTGTGGCCAGCTAGTCCGGGAGCCACAAGCTGGGTCTTTTCCACCTCCTTGGAACCGGAGCCAGCCCTGTGTGGCCCTCCATGGCCCGCTTGGTGGAGCTGCACCCTCCCGTGTTTATCTAACTTCCCTGACCCCGGCAAGTGCTCATCGCCTTTTTCTCCTTTTCTCAGAAACCAGGACACAATAGGAAGCGTTTCTTTGAACTTATTAAAAAATCCAGACTTGTAAATTAATTTGTCCGTGTTGTACAAAGGCAGTGCAGATGGACTCATTAGCATGCACACAACAAATAATTATAGATGAATTTTTAGCTGGCCTGCCTAATGCGCTTGCTGGGTTAATTATGTCAATGTATAATTACATCAGCCCGGGGAGACATAATGGCATACCCCGCTGAGCAGGCCCCGCAAATGACGGACCGTGGGGGGAGTGCTGACAGAGGAAAGACGGTGGCCTCCCCGCGCACCTGCTTACCTCGGCACAAACACCCACTGTCCGCGCCTACCACCGCCTAAAGCAGGCAGGAGGAGAGAGAAAATGCAGAATCAACCTTGTTCCAGCCAGACCTGAAGGCCCTGCGTACAGGCCCTGCTCTACTTCTTCCATCGGCAGATATTTACTGGGTCAGACTGGGTCAGGTTTCGTTCATCCAGAAGGGGTCCAGGGAGGGAGCAGAAACAGATGCAGTCCCGGCTTTGGTGGTGGAGTTTCAGTCCAGTGTGTTAATTAGTTGGACTTGCAAATGAATGAAAATTGTAAGTACAATGAGCGCTGAGAAGGAAAGGTGCAGGTGGCTGGGAGAGCTTGTATCGGAGGACTGACTGGTCCAGGTGGGCTCCCGGAAGAAGCGTCATTTGAGTTGCAAAGACGAATAAGCATCAACTAGCTGAAAGGGGTAGGGGAGGGCGGGGTGTTCCTGGCAGATGCTCCTGCTTGTACAAGGGCTCTGGGGTGGGAAGGTGCATTTGAGGGACTGAGAGAAGGCAGTGTGACTGGAGCTAAGAAAGGCAGGACTAGCCAGGGCTTCCATTTGTTCTCAGCTGACCAAGTGCCAGGCGCCATGTTGAGCACTTTGCATGGATCCTTATTACAACCCCATGAGGTAGGTACTTTTACAGTGAGGCACAGAGAGTTATTAGTGTCTTTTTGCCAAGGTCACACAGCAGTCCCAAGAAGCAAGTATGAGTTAGACCAGGACCCAGGGATCCAACTCCAGGGTCCGTGCTCTTAATCTTTCTGCTCCCCAGCAGAGAGCAGTGGCCAAGTGTTTGCTGGCAGATCCTGGTGGAGGAAGCAGGAAGAGTGAGGGCTCTTGTGCATTCAAAAGGACTGCAGACCAGACCCAGTCCCCTTGGTCTGGAATGAGGGGGACTTGGCTTTCTGGGACCCCCATGAACACCTGCTTGCAGCTACTGGGGTTAAAATGTTTACACCACTGCAACAGGAAGCCTTTGTGGCATCAGAGAAAGATCCAGACTTAAATCTCACCTCCACTCTTCAGCAAGTCACCTGGCTTCACTGAGCCTCAGTTTCCTCATCTGTGAAAATGAGTTGACCAGGGGATGCTGGGAGCATCATGGGAACCTGTTCCCGTAGATGGGCTTTGTAACCTGGATGATGCCAGACCAATCTCTGGCATCATCCAGGTGTTCCTAGTACCTGCCCTAGGTGGGGAGTTGGCCAAAGCCACCTGGAAGAATAGGTGCTGGATTCTAGATCTGAAGAAAGAGGAAGTGCTCGTTAGGTGACGGCAGAAGAGGCAACAGAATTTCAGGCAGAAGGACCTGCACATTCCTCCTTTTAGCTATTGGGAAATGAGGAAGCATCTAACATCCAGGTGTGCATTTTCAGAAAAGCCATTATTTTATCAGCCCGGCATGTCCCAAATGATATGTTGGTCCAGGTCCACTGAGAAGCACCCCCAAGGATTATGTGTGCAAGGATGCTTTGGCGGGGAAACAGGTGAATGAAAATTTGGAGGGAGCTGAGAGAGGTGGGGAACTGGGTGGAAGCATCCAGACCATGTACAGCCAGCCTGCAGAAGCCCTGGACAAGGCCATGGAGGAGTTCTCTACCCTCAGAGCAATCCCACGTCCCCAGGATCAGGTCTGTCTCTACGTTCGCTGTCTGCAGGCATTGTCTAGAAAGACCTGTGGGAAGGCTGGCCTCAGAGTGATGGATTTCAGAGCAGAGTCCTTGCTCAGTGATGTTCCCTGTGGCTGGAGGCATGTAAGACACAATCTCATGGCTGCCACAGATGGCATCGTAGACTCAGAAAAATGCAGTTGTTGTGACAGTTGTTACTATTTCCAGTTGGATGGGGCCCCCACGTCCATGGGAATGGCACGTACTCCTCTGGGCAGGTGCCTGGAGAAAGCTGCTTCCTCATAATTCAGAAAGTTCACGTTGCTCCCCTGAGCCATCAGAGTGACTCCAGGTGGCTCTCATGAATGGTCCCCCCACCCTTGCTCCCTGTGGAAGGACCCACCAGGCCCCACAGCCTCAGCCTGGGCGTCCTCCAGCCCCCACCACCACTCCTGGCCTCTTCTCTCTGCAGACCCCGGGCCTGTGTTTGAGGCAGCGCGCAACCTAGACGACAGACTGCAGCCCCCCAGCTTCGACCCCAGCGGGCAGCCACGGCAAGACTTCCACACCTTGTGGAAGAGGCACCCTGAGCTCCTCAGCTCCAAAGGTACTGAAAAGGCCTTCACAGGATGAACATAATAAACTGATCTTTGGGTGTTTGGCAGCCAAACTCAGCCACCCTGGGGACGCAGGGAGCTTCACTTCATGATTTTAGATGCAAGATGGCACCCTTCTGTGAAACAGATCAACCCCAAATCCCAGAGGCTTAATACATTTGAAGGGCGGGGAATTGCAGGGGATGTTCCATGCAGTCACTCAGGGACCCACACTGTGATGGTCCTATCATTTTCAGCTTGAGACATCCAGAGTCAGAGTGAAAGCTGACAACCAGCCAACAGGCAGAGAAAGTGTGTAGAGGGTCACACAAAGGTTTATGCACTCCAGGCATGAAAGTGGCACACATATCACTTCTGACCACATCCCATTGTCCAGAATTCAGTCTTATGGCCACACTCTGCTGCAGAAGAAGCTGGGAAATGCAGTCTGGCTGTGTGCCCCGGAGAAGGGAGAAACAGGATGTAGTGAACACAGCACTGTCTCAACCCCAGATGAAACAAGTCAAGAACTAGCAGAGCTAAAAATATTTAGGTATACATCTATTGTGATAAAAATGTTTGAAAGCCAGAGAATGATGAACAAAATTCAGCGTGGTGGTTACCTATGTGTGGTAGGTAAAGTTGGAGTTCACCATGGGCAGGGGAGGGAACAGGCGTGTGAAAGCCATTGATTATCATCTGATTCTTCTGTATTTATTGAGCTGCGAGCCAAGCACTGCCATGGCACTGAGGACACAGCCAGGAACGAAACTGACAAAAAACCCTGCCCTTGTGCTGTTGACCTTCTAGAGAGGCTGATTTTCAACCAGTAAATTAGTAAAATATTTCAGATTTTAGGTGGTGAGAAAGACTGGGAAGGAACGAAACAGTGAAGAAGGGAAGCATCAGGTATAGGGTCGCTCGTCTAAGGGTTGAATGAGTAGGGTTCACCTCAGAGACCTGCAAGGTTACCTTTTTTCTATAAAAGGCCAGAGAATAAATATCTCAGGATTTTCAGGCCATACAATTTCTGTAGCAACCACTCAACTTTATGAAAGCAGCCATAGAAATATGTATGTGAGTGGGTGTGGCCGGGTTCCAATAAAACTTTATTTACAAGACGGGTAGTGGACCAGGTTTGGTCTGTCGGGAATAAAATGTGCTGAGGCCTGTCAGATGAAAGCTTGACACAAAGTTGCTTCTCAGGAAATGCCCGCCCTCACACACCCCCCATTTCACAGCCCCCACTCCCCTGCCATGTAACTTGTGAACACCTACCGTGTGCCTGGCCCTGGGCAGAGACTTATGGCGATTAAAATACAGCACTTGGCCAGCTCTGTTTCTGTACCTGAAATACCTGCCCAGCCATCCTGCCTGACAAGCCAGGAATGAGCAGTTCTTCACCCCCAGCTCATATGTAGACACCTCTGAGGTCCCCCAGCAGAACTGTCACTCCTTCCTCTGAGGTTCCTCTGGAGTTCGAACTTCCTTCTGTATGGTGGTTGTGGGAACTGTCTCGTGAGAGCATTTGCTCTGCATCATGTGCTGTTCACACAGCATCTCACTGTCTTCTGGATCAACCTCCTGAGGAGGCCCCATTTTGCAAATGAGGAAACCAAGTCTCAGAGACAGCAGGTGGCCAAGTGGGGATTCAGACCAAGGGCTCTTAACCTCAGCCCTGCGCTGCATCTCTCCTTGAGGACTTGTCACTCTGCACCATGATTGTCAAACTTTGTCTTTTTGTTCACTGCCGTGGCCCCAGTATCTAGAAAATTCCCAGTGCGTGTGTGTGTGCGTGTTTGCACACGCGCGTGTGTGTGAACGAGCCAGGCCCTGACAACTCTCAGCCCCTCGAGGGGCTCGCGCTGCAAACCGCCAGCTTTGCACTCACCCTTCTGTGCCAGGCTCACAGTAGAAGTTTAATAACCAGGACAGAACTTAACTGAGTCCCTGGGTTCTAAGGTCAGGAGCCCAGGTTTTGGAATTCTTGAGCCCCCACCCTCAACAGCTGTCCCTGAGCACCCTCTCCCCCACAGCGAATTCAGCACCAAAGGCACACACTGGTCCCTAGGATGAGCCACCACAGGGCCTGCAAAGGTGGGCCTGATGTGGGCCCTGCCCCAGGCCACCTGCAGTGAGGCGAGCGATGACTGAGCTTCTGAGTCATCACCAGTGGGGAGGGGAGAACAGTGTGGCTCCTCAGTAAGTTAAACCTGGAGTTACCCTGTGACTCAGCGATTCTGCTCCTAGGCATATACCCCGAAGAGCTGAAAGCAGGCGCTCCAACAAAAACGTGTACGCCAGTGTGTACTAGCAGCACTGTTTACAATGTCCAAGTGGTGCAAACAATCCAAACGTCCATCAACGAGTGAATGGAGAAAGAAATTGTAGTATATGCATAAAATGGAATATTACTCAGCCGTAAAAAAGAATGAAGGCCCAATAATGCTATAACCTAGATGGACCTTGAAAACATAGTGAAAGAAACCAATCATACAACGACATACATTGTGATTGCGTTTATATGAAATGTCCAGAATACGCAAATCCAAAGACAGAGAGCAGATTGGTGGCTACCGAGGCTGGGGGAGGGGAGAATGGGACTGACTGTTTAATAGGGACAGGTTTCCTTTTGAAGTGGTGACGGTATTCTGGAATTACTGGTAATGGTTGTACAATATTGTGAATATACTAAATGTCACTGAATTATATACTTTATAATGGTTAAAATAGCGAATTTTATGTTATGTATATTTTATCACGACTTTTTAAAAAAATAAGGCCAAGGAGGCAGGAACAGGTCTGAGCGGGCAAAGGAAGCCTCTGGGTGTGCCATGTGAGGCTGGCACGGTGGGAACTTGACTTTCACGCACACACCTGCCGTGGCTGCAACCCGGCAGACCTCGGTGACGGCAGATCCCAACAGCTGTGCTCTCTCCAACACCGAGTCGAGGAAATTGATTCTTCTCACAGTGCTTTTGATAGATCTGTTTTGCAGAAAGCAGCTCTGGCTGTCACACCGCTCTCAGCAATGGGTGTTTTCCCTCATTTTCCTTCCTCCAGAGCAGAGAGAAGGGACGTCTCCGGCCGGGCCCACGCTGACCGAGGGGAGCCGCCTCCCAGGCACTCCCGGCAAAGCCCTCCTGACAGAAACTTTGCTGCATAGAAATGAGACAGAGAAACAAAAGTGAGTGGAGGAGGAACGGGAGGGCTCCTCCTGCTGCCCCACCTGGCTGGGATGTGGGACCGGGAAAGTCACCCGTGCCCAGAACACCTGGGGAATCCAGATGCAGGTTGAAGATGGAGACATAGACTTAGGTTCAAGCCCCACCTGAGCAGCTCAGTGACCAACCCTGGGCAGGTCAACTCTGAGCCTCAGTTTCCCCATCTAGAAGATGTTGGTTTATTAGTCAGGGTTCTCCAGAGAAAACGAACCAGTAGAATTTTTTAAATTAATTAAGAGATGTATTTCAAGAACTTAAATCACACGATTGGCAAGTCTGAATTGGTAGAGCTATCTAGTAGGCTGGAAACCGTCAGGAGCAGTTAGTGCTGCAATCTCAAGGCAGAATTTCTTCTTCCTCAGTTTTGTTCTTATGAGCTTCAACTGATTAGATGAGACCGACCCACATGATTGAGAATATCCTCCTTTACTTAAAATCGATTGATTGTAGGTGTTAAATACATCTATAGAATACTTCACAGCAACACCTAAATTAGTGTGTAATTGGGTAGCTGGGTACTGTAGCCTATCCAAGTGGACACATAACACTGACCCTCACAGGTGGTATCAACTCCTAGTCTTCTATGAGAATGAAACGAGATAATGCTGTACATGCTTAGCCCAGCACTCACACGGAGCGGTGCTTGTCAGTAAATGGTTGCCCTTATGGTTGGTGCCGTGGTAATACCTGGATTTTCGGGGCATTTCTAGGATAGTTTTATGGTGGTCATTAGATTTATCCTTTCATTTATTTACTTATTCCTCCTTTTGTTCATTCCACATATTTATGGACCCATCCGCTGTGGCAGGCACTGTTTTAGGGACACAGCAGTGAATCAGATGGACAAAACTCTCTGTCCTCCTGGAGTTTACTTTCTAGTAAGGGAGACACAAAGGAATCAGATGAAGTAGATGCTGTGTTAGATGATGATAAGGGCTGTGAGGAAAAACAAAGCAGGGGAGGGGGAGAACGGGACGGAGGGCTGAGGTTTTAAAGAGAATGTTAGGGGAAGCCTCACTGAGAAGGCGAGAAAGGCCCCAAAGGGGTGAGAGAGTGAGGCTGGCAGGTGTATAGGGAGAAGGCGTTACAGGCAGAGGAACAGCTAGTGCAGAGGCCCCAAGATAGGAACATGGCTGGTGCACCTGGACAGCAGGAGGTGAGTGTGGCTAGAGTGGAGTGAGCGAGGAGGAGGCTGCAGGATGTGTGTTCAGAGGTAAAGCGGGGAGTCTCTGAGCCAGGAGTCTCTGAGCCAGGCAGTGTAAGGCCCAGGCTTTGCCTAAACCCTCCCGCAGTCCAGCGAGGGCCCCTCTTTCTCTGCTGCGGCGCTTGCATCACTCCTCAGCTAGGCCCCAACGGGCCGGCTGGGCATCCCGAATTCTTGCCACAGGGAGGGGGAAAAATGCCTCCCCGGGACAGTAGTAGTAACTAACAATACTGAGGGGACACAAGGTGCTGTGTAACACACTGAGCATGCCTCACAGCACCCTCGGAGACAGACCCCATCAGAAGCCCCATTTTACAGATGAGGAAACTGAGGCCCAGATAGGCAAGGTCACTGGTTACTGTAGCCCTCCCCCGAAAATGCTGCCAGAAACTTAACTGCCAGCCATAATGGGGGCCACACGTCAGCAAACAGCAGGGCAGCCAAATGCCTGAATGTCACATTTAAGGACATGTGTTGTGGTTCAGATAGAGGTGCAGATAACAGGGAGTGGTCGAGGGGAATAGGAAGCCGGCATGGGGCCCAGGCAAGGCTCATCCACATGGACGTGAGCAGAGCTGGCATGAGCAGGGCCGATCTCTCCACAGGGGCCTTCAGGAAGTACAGATCACTTTGGCAGCCAGACTGGGGGAGGCAGAGGAGAAGATCAGGGTCCTACATTCAGGTATGTATCTAACACGCGGCGCCAGCCCTCACACTGCGCCCCAGCCCTGTCAGTCAAGGTGGAGGAGTGGGACAGGGCCACTACGTTCAGTGACACTGTGAACACAGGTTCAGGTATTCTAGAATGAGGAGGGCAAGAACGAGTTTGGAAAGGCAGAGGAAAGACCCATATTACCCAACGGGGGTCTGAGCTGCAGTCCCTGAAGGCTGTGCTACTGAAGAGAGGGTTTGAGATAGAATTAAATTGGGGTGGTAGATGGAGGACCCTCAGCAGCCCAGCACACAGTCAAGCCAGTCGGGTTCAGGAAGCAGTAGGGAAGGGTGGGGCCTTGTCTAAAAGAGGTAGCTGCTGCTGAGCACTGGCCAGGCACTGCCTTATGGCCCGACGTGGCCAATCCCTTCAGTTTCTCTAGAGAAATCAGAAATCTGGAATTTAATGAGAAATCCCTCATTATAATATACATTTATTTGTTGACCTGGTTGCTCCTCCCTCTCCCCTCCCCAACCAGGTCCAGACCTCAGGGTGCGTGAGCTCATGGATGGATGGCCCCACCCAGGTCCTGGAGTGACCTGAGGATGTTGGGGGCCTCCTACCCCAGGTCATTGGACAAACAGCCCCTCCTCTTGTCTGGGTCTCCTGAGATTCAAATACTAAAAGGGGGTCATCTCATCTGCCCTCCCCACCCTGGTCACTGCACGTGCCTCCCGCCAGCTTGAAGCCCTCTAGTGCATTGGCCAGAGACCAATGCTGCTGTGAGAATCTAACGCCTGATGATCTGAGGTGGAGCTGAGGCGGTGATGCTAGTGCTGGGGAGCGGCTGCAAAACGCAGATGAAGCTTCACTCACTCGCCTGCTGCTCACCTCCTGCTGTGCGGCCCAGTTCCTAACAGGCTTTGGACCGGTACCAGTCCACGGCCCGGGGAGTTGGGAATCCCTGCGCTAGAAGCAGGAAACTTACTACCTGTTGCCACTTCTAAGCAAGAGAAAGTTCTTCCCTCACTCCCCTAGGCCTCATTCTGCCTTTCCAGCCCTGAAGCAGTAGGTTCGCCTTCCCAGGAGTAGGTGACCTCACCCTGGCTCTTTATTTCCTTCCAGCGCTAAAGGCCACACAGACAGAGCTGCTGGAGCTGCGACGGAAATACGATGAGGAGGCGGCATCCAAGTAAGTGAACATCGTGCTGAGGTACGCCGCCTCCCCGCGACCTCTGCCTTAGGCACCCGTTTCATTAAGCACCCTCTGCTCCCCAACCCCATGGACGCAGCTGTTCAGTGGTTATTTGCTGCGCCATTCATGCAGCACAGACTACGTGTGACATTCCGTGCCACAGGCCAAGCAGCTTCTACTGGTCAGAGGCCTCTGTTTCACCGCAGCCTCCTGGGGCTGTCCCCACTCCCCAGCTCCACAGTCCAACCCTTGGGGCCGTGTCATTCGCGGAAACGATTCTAGACTCAGTGTTCCCTAAGGATTTAAGACATCACTTATTCCACAAATACTTACTTAGCACCTGCCGCGTACCCAGTGCTGTTCCGGGTCCCTGTAGGAAACACTAGAACGTGGTCCCGACAGACGCCGGCCGATGTGCAGTGATCATTCTTTCACAGACACGTTGAGCCCAAGACTGTTCTGGGCACGTGGTAATGCCGTGAAGGGAAGGACCTAGAGCAGTGAGAGAATAACAGGAAGGGGTGGGTCCTGTTACCGAGGGTCATCAGGGAGGACTGCCCTGAGGAGACGCGCTTCAGAATGAAAGATGAGAAGGAGATGGCCATGTGAAGAGCACTGGGAAGGGTGCTCTGGGTGGCTGGAAGAGCTCGTGCAAAAGAGGGCCCTGACCTGCGTGAAGCACACGTGTGGCTTTGAGTCACCAAATGCTCCCCACAGACCTCCTCTGGCCCCCACCCCACACCAGGCAGAGGGCAACCGAGGTGGAGGGGGCCTGTCCTGACCCCTTCAGTGCTGGAGGGAGAGAGACAGCAAAATAAACGAATGAGCGCCACAGGGGTTGAGAGAGGCCTCCTGGGAGGGCACTTGGGAGCTGGGTTTTAAACCTCGGGGCCTGTTTGAAGAAAGCATTTGAGGTGGAAGGCACAGCAGGGACGAAGGCTGAGATGGGCAGCTTCAGAGAGTGGGCCCCTGGTGGAGACGAGAAGCTAGGCTGCAATACTGAGGCCCCATTCCCATTTCTCCGTAGCCTGGGTTCTTTTCCCTGCAGCCTGGGTTCTCCCCAGTAGAAAGGATGGAAAGCAGCCTCCTCACCCCTCCATTGGGAGACCCTTGGGTTCAAGCAGGGGCTGTGGTATCAGGATGGGTGGGGGCCCTGGCAATGGCCAGAGCCCCTCCTCAGGGCCTCATCTTTCTGTCTTAGGGCAGATGAAGTCGGCCTGATCATGACCAACCTGGAGAAAGCGAATCAGGTGAGGAGACGTGTGCTGAGGGCTCATTCAGCCCCTGTCGGGGATCTCGGGCCAGGTCAGGAGGACAGGGCTAAGCTCAATCAGTATTGATGGAACTACATGCCACACAAAGTTCTGGGGTCAGATGTCTGGGACCCAGTCCCTGAGCTCCTGGAGAAGAGAGCGCGAGAGAACAGACAGAACAATCAGAACTAGGGCGACCCAGGCGGCAAGTCAGGGAAGGGGCACCTGACCTGTAGTCAGGGATCGGGAAGACATCCCAAAGGAAGGGCCATGGAGCTGAGACCTGACGAATAAATCGACACTGTGGAGGGAAGGCACTGCAGGACAGGGAAGAGCCTGGGTCAAGGCCAGGAGGCAGCCTGCGCAGCAGGCAGGAGGCTTCTCCAGGTGTCTTTGGACAGCGAGAGGACAGAAGCAGAGCAGTGATCAGTGATCCCCGCCCTTAGTGGCTATCCCAGGCCAAGCTGGGACCTGGGTCTCTCACAACCATACTGAGTAAGAAGCCAAGGGTGGTGATGCAGGGCAAGCCCGGGTCTGCTTCTCTCCCTCCCTTCCCACCTGGGGTCCCCTCCAGCCTCCTTACTTGATCCCAGCCATGCCAGCCAAGCACTGGGTGGACCGTCTTCCCTGAGGACCCATCTTCTAGTCCCAGCCAGGGTCCATGCAAGCCCTTTAGCCTCTCTGAGTCTCAGTTTTTACGTTTATAAATGGGGTTCCTTAGCCTGCCTTCCTCCAACTTCACATGTGTTGCCGTCACAGTGGGAAAAGCTTCACAGTGGGAAAAGCTGGGCAGGACTTAAAAAGTCAATAAGATGTGGCCACGCAGGTCCAGTATGGGGTCCCATCAGCCCACAGTATCTCTGTCCCACTCACTGCAATGCTACCAGTCGGGGACATGGCCAGGAGGGGCCAGCAATGTGACAGGGCAAGTGGTCATTTCCCTGTGGGTAGTTGAGGAAGGCTTCCTGGAGGAAGACACCACAGCTGTGTTCTAAAGCCTGGGTGCTGTTCTCTTGAGGAAGGCATTACAGGCAGGAGGCACAGCAGAGGCAAAGGCCTGGAGGTACGGCAGTGTGGGTGTAAGGGCAGGTGTCCTTGGAAAAGAATAACATTTTTTGGTTAATTTTCGAATAAGTGATCCACTTACATAGTTCGAAATGGAAAAAGCTCATACAGGCATACCAGGGAAACTGTCTCCCCTCCCCACTGGCAGCCTATCTTACCAGTTTCCCAGGTCTCCTTCCAGGAGTCCATTCACAAGCTCATGAATATATCTATTTTTATTCCTTTTTAAAACAAAAACAGTAGTATACTGTACACACCCTCCTGAACCTTACTTTCTCCACATCTTAGAGCCCGTTCCATGTTTGTATATAAAGCAATTCCTTCGGTGCTACAGCAGCCTGGTATTGCACCACATGACTGACGCACCATCACCTGGCCCAGGGGACGGCAGACTTTCTGTACAAGATCAGAGAGTAGATCATTTCAGCTTCGCAGGGCTCTGTCACAGCTGTTCAGTTTTGCCCTCGTAGAGTGAAAGCATAGGCAGTATGGAGACGAATGAGCGTGGCTGTGTGCCAGCAAAACTACTTGAAAAAACAAGCAGTGGACTGCAGTTTGCCCCGCAAATCCTGTCTAACCAGTACCCTATTGATGAACATTTATGGTATTTTCAATCTTTTACCATCATCATCAATATTGTGGGGAATAAAAGAGTACAGATACCATCTCATAGATGCCCAAGCCACTGTATCGGGTAAATTCTCAGAAGTGGGATTGCTGGCAAAGGGTCTGTGCATTTATAATTTGGCAGATGTGGGCAAACTGCCCTCTGCAGGACTGTACCAATTTACACTCCCTTCAGCAAGATAGGAGAGGGCCTGTATCCCTGTAGCCTCGCCAGTCCTGTGTGTCATCAAATTTTTGGATCTCTGCAATCAAATAGCCTTAACTAAGAAAGATCTTAAGAGCAGTTTGAATAAGAAGCATTTTTTGAATGTTTATTTTTTCAGAATATGAAACTAAAACCTGCTCATTATGGAGAGTATGGAGAAAAAAAATAAATGTCATCAAATTAGGTGTTTAATATCCTGAACATGAACCAAGAGGATTCTGGAACAGAGCAGATCAATATTATTACTTACATAGTAATAACCATGCCAGTTTGCCCCAGTTCTTACCCTAGGGTGATGAGATGAGAACCAGATGTCAACCTACATGCACCAGAGTTTGCGCTGTAGATGAGGAACCCCCCAAACATGAATCTGTAATTTCATAGGGGAGGGACCTTCTAAGAGAGGGATAGAAATTTATCCCTCGAGTGTCATGGTGAACAGAAGGGCAAGGATCCTGGGTTTTTAGCATTTGGAATGCAAATTCTTCTCTCCAGGGGAAGATAAGACTAGTAGCTGTAAACCCAGCTTTACAACACAGAGGATATCTCCATGGTCTGGGTCTCATCCCTGCCTTGAAATGTAAGCACACACCTCCAGGGAGATAGATCTCTGGAGTTCTCACCAGCTCATCCGTCATAAATTGACTTCCAGGGCTCGTCTTTTAGCCCAGATCCCAAGTTTCAGTCATATTTGCTTAGAAAGCCCTAACTGCAGAAATATAAAAATAATTTTCTCTATAATCCCGCACACTCAAAACCTTTCCCAAAACAAAACTGACTTGAACCATTTCTGGAACAAGGCAGGATACCAAAAATAAATAATAAAATCCATTAAGTAAATAAATTAACAAATGTGCCCATGAAGTATGTGGGTCTCTGTGTATATATGCTGGGCACAGCATCCTACTTGTCAAGGTCAGTGTGTAAGTTAAACATAATCACTATGACTGTGTCACTAGCTGAGGGTGAAAATAAAGCCACAGCTCTTTTAATTTTCCAAGTAATGGCTCAAGATCCCACATATCCTGTTGATGTTTATAAAATTAACCAGTTATTGACACATTTCTATGTGTCAGGCACCAAGCTAAGATGCCTAATGGGTTGTGTTTTACCAAATCACTTAATTAAAAAATAGCTCTATGAGTTGCTTTTATAATCCCCATTTCACAGATAGAGAAACTGAAGCTGGGGAGATGAAGTCTCTTGTCTGAGGGAAGCTGTTCACATTTAGATGCTTCCTCCCAGGCTTTTTTCCTCAGAAATGTTTGAAGAGTTAAGATCTACCATAGACCCAATTCAGTAAACTGCTTCATTCTAATTTAATAGTATTTCAACATGCCTCTGCAGTAGATGTATTTCATTTCTCCCGTTTCACAAAAGAAAAACTGAGACCCAGAGAGAAGAAGTGACTTGCCCAGGGGCCTGCAACAGCTGAAGGGCTGGGGAGCCACCTCAGCAGATGCCCCATCCAGGATTTACTCCACAGCTCGGGACAAACGTTAGCAGACAGAAGCAGCCTCGAAGTGTGTAAAAACTTGCCAGTCCTATCAAGGCAGCATCTTCCTTTCTGCCTTAGCGGGTAGGGAATGTTCTAGCTCCTCTTGGGATCTGAAGGACCCCAGGGAACACAGAGCCAAACAAGGGACCCAAAAAGTAGGACCCTCGGAGCCCTGCCTGCCCACCCTGCGCCTGAGATGATCCAGCGCGCCTCTTAACCATGCTCTCCGGTTCTGCTCCCCAGCGAGCCGAGGCTGCACAACGGGAGGTGGAAAGTCTTCGGGAACAACTCGCCTCTGTCAACAGCTCCATCCGCTTGGCCTGCTGCTCCCCTCAGGGACCCAGTGGGGTAAGGATGGTTGGGGAGCCAGAGGGAAAGGTTGGGAAAGGGCATGTTTGTGGGTGTGACTATTTGGGTTGATCGTGTACGTCTTTGTGAAATTGTGCAGATGGATGCATGTGGATCTCTGTGTGCTTACAGTAAGTATAGCATCTTAATTGCCAAGGTCATTGTGTAGTTAAATATAATTACTGTGACTTACTGCCACAACCAAGGGTGAGAATACAGCTACAGCTCTTTTAATTTGTCAGGCTCACGCTTCCGTATATCCTGATTAACCGGAAATCCGCTATCTTCCTTTGGAGGCCCCCATACCCCCCCAGTTGTCCCAAGAATGCCAGGAACCTATTCAGGCCAAAGAGGGTCATCTCTATTGCCAGATGCTCTGCAAGAGCGGGTAGAAGGATGAGTTTGATCAATAGAACAGCAGTACAGTTTTGGTGGCTGCCACCAGGTGTCACTGGTGACTGCTGGTCTCCCACTGGTACAGGCTCTATGGGGACAACCCGCTGGTTCTCAGTTCCCTACCAGATCCTGACCAAAGCGAGGCCTCATACCAAGATCTGAGGTTAACGCTCATACTCAGTCACTGGTTCCCAAAACATGCCGGGGTGATTCCAGCGTGGTTTCCGAGGAGCCACGTGCTACGAGGAGTCAGTCTTCAGTCGTCGACCTTGAGGTTCCTGTGTCTGGCCTCGTTAGTCAGTGCGTCTTTCTCTTTCCTCGTGGTTGGTGTCCTTTTGGGGTCCTGGAGTCGTTTCCTACCAAAAGATTTTAGTCAGAGCCATCCCAACCTACCCGTCTGTCATGTTAGGTGTCTCTGTCCCTCTTCCAGAAAGCCTTGGGTTCCATGTATAAATTGGTCCATCTACTTTCCAGATCTCTACATACAAAAGGCATTAGATTCATGATTCCTTACGTAACAACAGGTCTGTGCCAGGGTCATTTGCTGTCTCCGCGCATGGACTTGAAGTGACCAGCATAATTTTCACCTCAGCTGACACCCTGATGCACAGGCCCATGTGTCTGTGTCTGTCTGTTTGAGTATCGTCATGTGTCTCTGCGACGTGTTACCATGTGCGTGTGTGCCTATTCGTGACCTTTGGCAAATGACTACAACTTTAATCTAACTGTGCCTCAGTTCCTTCACTTGTACAAGCAGGATCTACATTACAGGGTTATTGAGAGGACTGCATGTGAAGTACCTAAAATGGTACTTGGCTCAGTCTATGCTCAGTAAATATTTGATGCTGCTGCTGCTGCTGCTACTACTATTAGTGTTTGATGTGTCTGGTTTTACACACAAGAGCATGCAGCCTTTTTGAGCCACATACCTGTCTGTGTGTGTCTGGTGATGTGTCCATATGAGTGTGTCTCCTTGATGCCTCTGTGTGTGTGTGTGTGCGTGTCAGCGTGAGTATTTAGGCAGGTATGCCTGTCGGTGTGTGCTATGTCTGTAGGTGTGTCCACCTGCGTGTGTCCTAGGAGGCAGTGTGTGTGTGTCAGCGTGCCTGGATGTCTGCATGACACAGAGAGTGAACACGAGAGAGACTGAGTGCGAGAGAGCTCGTGAGGAGGCCGCAGAGAGAATTTGCCAGCGGCTCTTAATTAAGCCCCGTGGAACCCGGCAAATGCCTGTGCTAATCAGCCACAGGGAATTTTGCTGGTTTGGGGGCGAGCTTTTCTGAGCGCAGCAGTGGCGCTCGATGCTAATTAATTTAATGTGTTAATGGCATCCGCTTCCTGTTTTAATTGGCATTTATCTCCATGGAAGAATAGCCGGGGTTGGTAGTGGTGGGGTTTTTTTGTTTTGCTTAGTTTTTATAACACTTCTTAGGTTCCTTTATAACTGCCTGACTTCAGATTCCCTCAAACAGCAACCTCTCCATCTTTATTCGGGACAGAGGGACCATTTTCTAGAACCTAGAGAAGCTGTGGATCTTGGGGCTGGTGGCAAATTAGGAGGAGGAAGGAACCACTGCTAATGTGGCCTGTGGCTGGGCCGCAAGGTCTCAGGTCTAACTCTGTGGGTCTCTCATTGCTTAGAATGGGAACACCCTGCTGGGGTGGGACCCACACCCATGTTACAAACCCAAGCCTTTGTCTCCGCCGTTCCCTCTGCCGGGAACAGCCTGTCCCCTCCACTTCCTCACCCAGCTATCTACTTCCTTTTTTGTTGTTCTTTTTTAACAAATATTTTATTGAAGTATAATATACATAAGGAAAAATGTACATATGAGTGTACAGCACATTGAATTTTTCAGAATGAACACGCACCGTAAGCAGCATCTAGATCAGTAGAACGGTCCCAGGCCCCGAGAATGAACACGCACCATAAGCAGCATCTAGATCAGTAGAACGTTCCCAGGCCCCGAGAAGCCCCCCATGTGCCCCCTTCAGGTACCACTCTCCAGGGAGAGCCACCCCCTGACCTCTAACAGCACAGATGGGTTTGTATCTGATGTTGATTGAAACACACACACACACACACACACACACACACACACACACACACAAACTTTGGTGTCTGGCTGCTTTTGTTCCAAATCTGGGAGAGTCATCCATACTGTGTTGGAGTAATTGTAGATTATTCATTTTCATGGCTGTGTAGTATTCCATTGTGTGACTGTTCCACAGTGTGTCCACATCCTCTTGCTGGTGGACACTGGAGGGTTTCCAGTTAGGGACTTACAGAGTGGGCTGCTGTGAACATTTTGTCTTGGTGTCCATGTGTCTCGGTGCACAGGCGCCTGTATTTCTCCTGCATATATACCAACGAGTGGAAACCAATGTTTACCTTTAATGGATTCTACCAAGAAATTTTCCAAATTATGAACATTTTCTTGAACTTCATCATGGTTTAGACACATTTTCCTCCATAAAACCTTCCCTGCTCACTGCCCCTCCCCGCGCCCCCCCCCCAGCCCCCAGTTTAGTTTCAAGAATAGAAGGAAAGGCATCCAGGCTGATAGGACCTGTCTGAGCAAAGGCCCATCCTATGAGGAAAGCTACGGGCCTGTCAGAAGCGGCTGAGTCACACTGGGGAGCACAGCACCAGAGTCCTACCACAAATACGGATCTCCCATTATGTTTGGGACTCGAGTGGGGAGGCCAGCCCTGCAGCCTCCTGCCCCATATCTCTCAGCTCCTTCAAGTCCCACTTTGTCCTCAGGATAAGGTGAACTTCGCGCTGTGCTCAGGCTCACGGCTTGAGGCTGCCCTGGCCTCCAAGGATCGGGAGATCCTGCGGCTGCTGAAGGATGTGCAGCGTCTCCAGAACTCCCTGCAGGAGCTGGAGGAGGCCTCTGCCAACCAGATTGCCGACCTGGAGCGGCAGCTCACGGCCAAGTCTGAGGCCATCGAGGCAGGTCTTGGGGGGAGGAAGTGGGCAGACGGGAGATGGGCGGGGCATCCCTGGCAGGAGGACAGTCCCAGCTTCACTGTCTTTGTTTGTTCCTCTAGAAGCTGGAAGAGAAGCTCCAGGCACAGTCTGACTATGAAGAAATTAAAACAGAGCTGAGGTACTCTGCAGAGTGGGGCTCCACTGACCCCTGCCCTCTTCCCTGGCTGGCAGAGTTCTTCATCTTCCTTCCCCCTACCAGACCCCACTTCATGGTGCCCTTGTCTCCTCTCCACTGGCACCTTGGGTGTCATGCTTGGTCCTTTGCCATCAATAGCTGCCCATAGGAAGACACACAAGGCAGCCTCATTGTGGGAGCTATAATAGGGTGGGGGTAGTGGGGGTAGTGATGTGTTGTTCAGATAAGCTCAAACTGGCCTTTGTGGAGTCGGTTAGTGCAGCACCCCTCCAGGTAACATGGGAACCAGTTCACAAGCCTGGTCCTTAGAGCTGTTGTTAAAATGAGTCCAGGGTTGTGCAGGGTTGGGGGGTGAGGGCAGTTCTTCTCCATCAGGGAAGATGAGCTGGAAGCGCCTCTCCCAAGGCCCCTCCCCTAGCCAGAGAGCATAGCTGGCCTCATACCCTCCGCTTTCTCCGGCAGCATCCTGAAAGCCATGAAACTGGCCTCCAGCACCTGCAGCCTCCCCCAGGTGAGTGTCCCCTCCCCTCTCCCTGCAGGGCCAGCTGACCTGAGAGCCTTCTAGCAACCACGCCCTCTCAGCCCGGCTTCTTCTCTCCTCAGAGCATGGCCAAGCACGAGGACTCGCTGCTCATGGCAAAGGAGGCCTTTTTCCCTGCGCAGAAATTAAATCCTGCTGGAGAAGCCCTGTCTCTTGGGCAGCCCTGGTAGGGAAGGGGATGTTCTAGGGGCTGAGGGGCTGGGTGGGGGCTGCCGCGCATCTCTGGCCTTCTCCATGCCCACAGACCACTGCCTTCCACATGGGCAGGAGAGCGATGGAGGAAAGGGGTGCATGCTGATGAAGCGCCTGGCACCAAGCTGGGCACCATGCATGGCTAAGCCGGCTGGCCCACAGGTGTCCACATAAGCCCACGCCCACATTCAAGGATACACGGCTCACTCAGGCCCTGCTAAGGCCCCCAAAGGCTCCACTCACCCCACCCTTCATGAACAGTAGGATGAGGTCACGGGGCAAGGAGGGCGTTCACACTGCACCCCACAGCAGACTGCTGGGAGTAGCTTCCAGACGTTGTTCTCCTAAATTGCCTTCTCGGCCTCTTGTACCTTCTCCCCACACAATGGGTCCACGACCTTTCAGCTGTGTAGGCCCATCAGATACGCTGCTGCCTCTGTTTCCTCGTCTGTAAAATGGGGACAGTGACAGGGCCTAAATGCGTAGGCCGGGCAGGTATGAGGCAGGCAGGCCCCTGGGAGCGGACCCTCCTGCTGGGGGAAGGGGGATCAGGCTGAAATCCCTGCCCCAGGTGAGGTGCTGGGCCCGTAACAAGTGTCTGGTTAGTGTTCTTGATGGTGGGGGGGAGGGCTCCCTGGAACCAGCGTTTATTCCGGGACTCGAAGGATGAGGATTTGAGAATGGGGAAGGGGGTTGCTGGCCCAAACGTCCATTGTTGGCACTTAGTACTGCTGGGCGCCTATAGCACTTCTCTTCCCCACCCCTCTTCCCCCAACTTCCTCTCTCTCCCTCTGAATTTCTCTCGTGTATGTCTCGCTCCATCTTGTACTGTCTCCCTTTTTTCTCTCTCTCTCTCTCCCTCTCTGTCTTTCGCTCTGTCTCTGCCTGTCTCCCTCTGTCTGATGCTCACTGTCTCTGTCTCTCACGCGTGCGTGGTTTCTCTCTGTTACCATTTCTCTCTGCCTCTCTTTTCCTGTCTGTCTCTCTCGTGTCTGTTTTTCTGTATCTTGTTATTTCTCTCCTTGTCACTCTCTCTCTCCCGCTGTCTGCTTCTCTGTCTTACTCCCTCTCCCTGTCTCTCCTCTCTCCCTCTGTCTGTCTCTCTCTAGAGGAAGACCCTTCAGAGGACGATTCCATCAAGGACTCGCTGGGCACGGAGCAGTCCTACCCGTCCCCTTCGCAGCTTCCGCCACCTCCAGGGCCAGAAGACCCCCTGTCCCCAGGCCCCGGGCAGCCCCTCCTGGGCCCTGGTCTGGGCCCTGATGGCCCACGGACTTTCTCGCTGTCCCCCTTCCCCGGCCTGGCTTCAGGGGAGAGACTGACAGGGGACGCACTGCTGTCCAAGCACATGATGCCCCCCGCCACCTTCAAGGGAGAGGCAGGTGGCCTACTAGTGTTCCCCCCGGCCTTCTACGGCTCCAAGCCCCCCACAGCCCCTGCCACTCCAGCCCCTGGCCCTGAGCCGCCCGGGGTCCCCGAGCCGGCCGATGGTGGCGTGGGCAGCACAGCCGGGGCGGGGACCGGAACAGAGGAGGAGCAGCTGGACACAGCGGAGATCGCATTCCAGGTGAAGGAGCAGCTGCTCAAACACAACATTGGGCAGCGAGTATTTGGCCACTATGTGTTGGGGCTGTCACAAGGCTCCGTCAGTGAGATCCTGGCCCGGCCCAAGCCCTGGCGCAAGCTCACGGTGAAGGGCAAGGAGCCTTTCATCAAGATGAAGCAGTTCCTGTCAGATGAGCAGAATGTGCTGGCTCTGAGGACCATCCAGGTGCGGCAGCGAGGTGAGTGCCGGCCACGGGCCTGTCCCACAGCCAAGCCCGGGGCACAGGGCTGGCTCTGCCACTTCCATCTGTTTGGTCTGTGGCAAGAGGCTTCGCCTCTCTAAGCCTTAGTTTCTCCCTCTATAAAATAAGGAAATATATCCTCCCCTCCTTCCTGGGGCCTGTGACTTCCCTCTCCTCCCCACCTGGCTCTCATGGGGCAGCTCAGGCTGATAATGGTGGGAAAAGGCTGGGCCCCAAGGACCCCACAGTACGTCCAAGCTTCGGCTTACCCATCCATCAAGTAGCCTGGGTACACAGCCTTGCCAGACTTGATTTTGGGGGTAATCCAGGTGAAGGGCCCAAGCTCTGACCTCACAGACACCTGAATTTGAGTCCCAACTTTGCCCTCCACCCACAGGGTGACTTCAGGTAGCTCACTTTGTGTCTCTGTTTCCCTGTCATTCTCCAAGGGTGGGTTAAATGAATATAAAGCTTGACAACTGTTAGCTATATTGATGATTGCCATCATTGTTGTTTTTATTATTATTATTTCAAGCCAGAATCACGTGCAGGTCCACAGTTTGCCATACAGACTAGCTCAGTGGTCACTCTGCCACACACTCATGGTCTGGCCTTGGCCCTGCTCCTGGGACTGACCACACCCAGCTCCTAGGACTGGCCCCTAACATGCAAGTCCCCCCAACAGATGCCTCCTTGCCTCCTCCAGGCAGTATCACCCCGAGAATCCGCACACCAGAGACAGGCTCGGATGACGCCATCAAGAGCATTCTGGAGCAGGCCAAGAAGGAAATTGAGTCACAGAAGGGGGGTGAGTATGGTAGGTGAGGTATCTAGGCCTGGAAAGTGCTGGATCTTTGCTATCCAATATGGAGCCATTAGCTACACATGTCTGTCTCCATTCGGATTAATTCAAATTAAATAAAATTACAGCTTCGGTTCTTCAGCCTCACTAGCCACATTGCACCGGTGACAAGTGGCAACCGTATGGGAGAGCACATCTCAGAACATGTCCCTCGTCACACAGTTCAGTTGGCGGCGCCGGTCTGGATCATCCGATGTCCTCAGCTTTCAGGAGGTGCAGTAATGAGGAATCACACGGGACCTTCCACACAGACACACAGAGGCCTGAGCCTCGGCCCTGACCATGGACGTCCCCCTTCTTACACCTCTACATTTTAGTCCTCAAGGAGACATTGCTGTCCCAGCTTCCTCCTGCCTCTCAGACCACGCCATCCCCACCTTCTCCTGGGGCACCGGATTCCTCTCCTAGTGCTGCTGTTAGCCACAGACTATGTGGCTGAAAACCAAACAAATTTATTATCTTACGGCGCTGAAGGTCGGAAGTCTGATCAGCCTCACGGGACCAGTTGAGGTGTTGACAGGGCTGCGTCCCTCCTGGAGGCTCTAGGGGAGAATCCGTTCCCCTGCCTTTCCAGCTTCTAGAGGCCTTCTACGTTCCTTGCCCTGTGGCCCCTTCCTCCGTCCGTCAAGTCCAGCATCATGACCTCTTTAGTTCCCCTCATTGTCTTGCCTCCCCTTAAAAGTACACTTGGGATTATGTAGGGCCCACCCAAATAATCCAGGGTAATCCCCTCATTTCATGATTCTTAACTTCCATCACATCTGAAAAGTCCCCTTTGCCATGAAAGGTAACTGGTATTCACCAGTCCCAGGGACGGGGCTGTGGATCCACAATGCACTTTTCCTTTAGCCCTTCAAGTGCAGGATTACCCCGGGCTCCACCCCAGACCCTCTGACTTTCCTATTCTTTCTAGATGAGTTAATCCACTCCAGGAAGTTCTAACCAAGAGCAGCACCCAAATTGTTCCCTGTCCAGGCCAGACTCGTCTCAAAAGTTCCAGAGCCACAAGCCAACTGCCCTCTGGACATGCCCACCAAGGTCCTCACTGGCATCTCAAACTCAACATGTCTGAGGTGGAACTCACTCCCTCCCCAAACCCTTACTGAGGAATAGGAACCCGTCACAGATGGTGCTAGAAACCCAGAGTGAAATGAGGGGCTATCCTTGACCCCTTGCCCCTGGAAGCCAGTCAGCCACCCCATTTAGGGGTCACTCACCCTCTTAAGTGTTTTTTCGAGCTTATCCATCCCCCACCCCAGTTGCCACCAGCTTAGTGAACCACCATCATCACTTGCTGGGACTTTTGCAATAGCCTGTTCACCAGTCTTGCCAATGACATTCTAGGCCCTACTCCACCCCACTTTCCACCTAGAGGCAGAGGTATCTTTCTAGAGCACACATAGTCATGTCACTAAGAATCCTTCCGTGGCTCCCCGTTGCCCTCAGGATAAAATCCCAACTCCTCGGCAAGGCCTGCAGTCTTCAGACTCCTCCTGATCCCACCATGTCTCTCACGTGATCTGTTTACAGTCATGCTCGTTTATCCTCATCCCAGACACCTCTCACGTGACCAACCCCTACTCATACTTTATGACTCAACTCGGAAGTCATCTCTCCAGGAAGCCTCCCACCGTGTACAGAGAGATTGGATACTGCCCCTCCTTGGATCTCCCAGAATTACCTGTGTGCTTGGTGCAGTGGAGCCAGACTGGACTAGCTGCAAATTCTGGCCCTGCTATTTATTATAGGTTGTATGATCTTGGGCAAGTTTGCTTAGCCTCTCTGTGCCTCCATTTCCTCATCTTTAAAATGAAGACAGTGTTAATACTCTTTTCTTAAGGTTGCGTGAGGATCAATCAAGTGAGACCACGCCTAGCCAGCACTCAGCCTGGGACCTGGCATGTAAAAGGTGCCCCTGAAGCTTAGCTGTTGTCGCAGCCAACATTATCATTATCGTAGCTCTGTTGTTGCATTTGTTCATGTTACAAATGACTCTGCTGATGTGGCTGTCCCTCCCATTGGTCTGGGGGCTTCCTGCAGCCAGGGACCAATTTGCATCCTTCCACTCAACACGGAGATACAGTTCCTGACTTTAGAACAGGTTTCAGTGCTCCCGCTCCATTTTGCAGTGTTCTCTGCCCCCTGGCGGCGACTCAGAGCAAGTGTCTCGATTCTCAATCCTCTACTTGCTGGGAGCCAAGTTTCCCAAGGGCCCTTCCTCCTGCCTGGTTCTTGCGGGGAATGAAGGCGGGCTTACCCTGCTGGGAGCCCACATAATCCACCGAAACCCTACTGTGTATACACTAATTTCTTTGTCAGCTCCTATAACAACAGAGAGGCAGTCATTCAGTAAGCACTACTGTGCGCTAGACATAGATTACAGACGTGGATGAAACATGATATTGGGTGAAAAGAACCAGAAGAATGATCTAATCTCATGTTTAGATTAGATCGTTTAGTCTCCCACTAAACAGACAGGACAACTACGGCCAAAGCAGGGGAGACGTGCTGTTACACAGAGCCCAAAGGAGAACCCGAGTCTCCTGACTCCCTGTACAGTGCTCTCGCAACTGGAGGGTCAGAAACAAGGCACCAGGGAAAATAAAAAGGCAGCATCACAGCAGAGGGAAACATTTGCACGAGTAGGCCAGCCAGGGGGTTTCCACTCAGGGTCTGGGAAGAGTTCAGCAG